GGTTCCTCCTATTGGTTTTAATTTTTACTTACAACATCACTGATGTGAAAATATGTTTGATATGAATGTAAATGTATAGCCTATAACAGATTGTGCGCCGTCTTGGGGAGGGAGGTGGGGAGGAAGGGGGAGAAAAAATTTAAATTCGAAAGCATATGGAAGTGATTATTGATAAATCAAAATAAGTTAATAAAAAAAGTTCAATGCCATGTACAAACTAGGCACTCAATACATGACTATTCAATTGAATTGAAATGAGTTAAACTATAAAAAAACTGAATTGAACTGAGGCAATGGGGTGGTAGATGGAGGATCAAAGAGCAGATCAGTAATAGGAAGGCTACTGGGGCAATGTTTTGTGTGGAGTTGTTGCTTAGGATCCTGTAGCAGTGATGTGTGGTTTGTCTTTGCTGCAGCCAGCATTAAATACTAAGGTCCAGTATTTAACAAGAAAAATTAGTTGTTTTTATTTTATGTTAATACAATCTGGCATGTGAACAAATCCAGGAAGTTTAAATACAACATTTACCCTGAAACTCCATTCTTCAATTAACTGACTTTTTTCCCCAACAGGAAATGTTTAATAACCTCACATAACATATGCCAGGAAACCAGCTTAGCATAATCAATATTTAAAGTGTGATGTGTCACTGATAGGTGCTGGTTATGTACATCCTGCAGGCAATGGCTATAAGCACATTGGTCTTGCTCCAACCCACAGTGTCCCTGGCTTACACGCTCCACATGTTCTAAAAGACAGGAAAGTGATCCAACCCACACTTTGTACAAGCTATGTTCTGTATCTTCAAGATTGTGAGGCCTTTGCTCCACCCACCGAACTAGAAAATCTTTCTAATCTATGAGTCTTTGCCTGTATATTACTTCCTCCCCATTCTTTTAGTAATCTCCTTAGCATAATCCATTAACCCACTGTTTTATAACTGCCAATCTGTTGAAAAATAATAAACAAAAAATTTGAACTGATCTGTAAAACCTTTACTACCAAAAGACCTTACCTCTTAAAAACTATACATTTAAAATAGTGACCTCCTACGTTCTTACATCCTGCTACCAACTCTGCCTTCTTTCTTACTTTGGTAAATACTATCTTGAATTGTACTGTTCTATTCAGTGTAACTCCATTCTGCCTTTTATACAAATTCTTCTAGACAAAACAGGAGTGAGACGGGGACATCCTCCTTAAATACTATGTTTCCCATGGCCCAGGGTTTCCCAGGCTCTGGGCTCACACAGGTCCAAATGTCAACGGTTGACCCGATGGGATACTTTTCTCTTTTGGTTGATTATCCCTGACTCAGTTTTACTCTGGGAAATTTCCAAATATATTCATGTCTAGAGTTCTACAAAGGTGGATAACATTCTCCCTGTTTGCTAAACAATGACTGAAAGTAACACTCTTTGAAAAGGCTGAAAGGACTCCCTTTACCTCACCCCCACAGAAAATGCAGGGCAAACAGAATACTCACAAGAGTCCCCAGATACACAAACAAACAAGTCCTCACATCGCTCATAGGAGCCCATATGAAAATACAGAAAACATATAAAACACTCACAGCAGTTCCTCTCAGAAAGAACTGAACTCAAGGCTGCCAGCAGAATAATATTCCGACGTTCTGGCAAATCTCTAACTCTCCCACCAGTGACATAGTCCTTTTGAAACTAATAGCTCCCCCTGTGGTTTGCACTACCCCTAGAAGGCAAACATATTTTGGAGCTACTGGACAGGCAACCCCACTTCCTATCAGACCTGCATCGTATGAATAAGTCATTGTCATAGGAGGGTATACTGTGATTTTCTCCCCCTCCCCCACAATGGTTTTAAGTCTTCTTGTTGCTTCTTTAGCTGCAGGAGCCACATGGGTGATTCTTTTCTTCCTCCGAGAAGCATACTGCTCAAGAACTTTCAAAATTGGGGTTCTTTGTGCGGCAACCCTCAAAGCTGGCCCTGCTCAAGAAATCTCCCTTCTGGCTAGAAGGTTAGATCATGAGATTTGCTATACAGGGAATCAGAATCCCACCTACTCTTCAAAGGAGGTTGTAGTTCAGAAATATTGCCCGTGAATTTTGGGCTGGGTGGGGCAAGTGTAGTGTATTTGCTTCTTCCATGTGTGTCTGCAAGAACTCTATTGTTGCCATTGGCTATCGCCATCTTTTGAGATGGAAAGTTCCACCAGAACATCTCTAACTTCTGCTCAGAAAGACCAAGACCTTGAGTATCAGGAACTCTTCTCTTGGGCCATTTGAATAGGTTCATGCAACTTAGCTTGTGCTTCTTCAACAAGTCATCATTTCCTGCTAGGAGGAGAGGGGATGAGAGGAATCCCTTCCCTTTTTTTGCCCCAATCCCCATATGCTCTCCAGAAAAAAAAAAAGTACAAGGGGAAAAGGAAATGCAGGAAAGAGGAACTGAATAGGTCTATTGGCTCACTTTTATTGATGAATGCAGAGAGAGGAGGCACCTCTGGTAACAGTTGCTCCTCACCAGAGTCCAAGTCAATGGAGTTGTCCCAGTGCCAGTCACAGAAAACCAATCAGGAGTTTGTCTTTGTCCTCCAAGCAATGGTTTGCATAGTCATACTCTGCATAGAAGAGATGTGGGTAGCAAATTTACCTGTTGGAGAGTGGAGAATTCCTCTAATCAAGTCCCTTTATAAATAAAAATCCCAACTGCCCCCCAAACTACTAAGGTATTCTTATATATGCGTATACAAGTATATTCATACATGTGAATGGATGCTTACAGAGTATTTATCTCATTCCTTCTAGATTGTAATAGCTTAGTATCTTAGAATACTGTTTTCTCTTTAAATATCTAAATACTGAACAATCTGGAATCACCAGTATCAAAGTAATCAGAATTCTAAACTAACTAGGCTTATTTTTGTACATTCAATTTTTAAAAGTAGCAAATTTAGAGAAAGGAAATTCGCACCAGGGATTTCTTAAGTAAACAACTTGTAGCCTCCATCCTGGGATCAGTACAAGTTCAGTCTGATCTTTTTATCATCGCTATTTATGTCTAAGGGATGAATGGGGATCATAGCTCTCCACAACGATGACCCCCAGCTAAAGCACATACTCTGAGGTCTTCAGCAATGAAAGTTCAAAATATGTCAACAAATTTACAAAAACAGAAAACCAGACTGGTTCATTTTAGAAAGATTTTCAATAACAACAAATTGAAACAACAAAAAGGGTTTTCTATTTGACAGAAAGTACTAGCAAATCAGAACAGTGTTTCCTTCAACATTTTGGTTAATTGAGATTTTGCTATGCTGTCTTGTTCAATGCCAAGTACTGAAGGATGAGAGAAATATTTGATGATGCTGTAGGATGGTGTATGGAAGAGTAAGGCAGTTTTTAAAAGAATGAAGAGGAGGTTTAAAGTCATTCTTCTGAAATGAGATGCCAAACATACTATTTTACATATTATTTGCATGTCCTAGAGCCATTGTGAATTGTTATTTTGCTAAAGCAATCATGTGAGCTCGTTGACTGGTATTTTGGGAGGAAGTATTTGGAGATATCACACTTATGTAAAAAGTGAGCTACAAATCAAGTTATGGTCTACACTGGCCTCCAGCATCATTGATCTTGCATTGCTTTGAATCAGCTGAATAGTCATTCTGAACAGTTTGCTTCTCATTTTAAGGACTCCATTGTACATCTTGAAAAACGAGTCAACCCATCAGTTGACCTTACTCTGGCTGTTACCATTGCTGGTTCTCTTACCATTCCCTAGAGAAACCCATTCAATCCCAGATTTATAAATCAGGACTGAAACAGTCTTTTTTTAAAGCTTACTGCTTGCTAATTATAAGATCATTTTATATCTGCTTTAAACCTATAATTTATACATATACGTGAAATTGTAACTTAATTAATCCTTTCACTATCGGAGTGAAAATTAGAGGGCATACCAACTTCCTTTTTTCCCCTGAGGGTCTCAGACCCTACATACCCATACACCTTCCCACCTATTTCCCATGACTTGGCAATAAAAAAAAGTGCTTATTTTGGTTTCCCTTCCACCAGTGGGGCCATGTTGTGGCAACTGTATCTGGTAGGGAATCAAGTGATTCAGATTTTGTTCCTCCTTATCAAGAGTCAACTGGGCAATATACAGAGCAATTTTCCAATTTTGCTTATCTTATGATTGATTCTTGGATGGCCAGTTTGAATTTAGGTGTTCATTTAGTTTCTTAGTCTGCTGACAAGACTATATCCATTTCTTCCTGGAAGAAATGGCCAGACCTAGAGCCATAGCAAATTTTGGCCAAAGGGGCTCTAAGGTAACAGTTAATTTCCCTTCCTTAAATAAATTGACAGCTAAAATATTTCTTGATATTTCTGGGGATGAACAGGACCATTCTTGGTCTGAACTTGCCTATGTTCGATTTTTTTTAGAACAATACAAGTCTCCTGCTGGTCTGCAACTTTGAAATTATAGGGAGAAGGTAGGGCCTTTTTTTTTGCATTCTTGTTGACATTACCCTCGGGGTGCACTTTGATCCCTTCTCCCTGATGAATCCTGGCAGGTTCTGACCACTACTCTTTGAAGTCTTGACAATAGTTTTTACAGCATCTGAAATTGGGGTGTCTTTTTTAAACTCTAGCAGTCACTTCAATTGCTGCCAGCTCTGTTATGTCATAGCTCTCCTTTTGGAAAGCAGCTCTGTGGATTGTTGCCACATTGTTCAGAGAGTAGCATTTTGATTAGCAGCTGCTACTGTGCCAGGGAATGGACCTACAAAGACTTTAATGTAACCAATTCTTAGTTTGTATGATTTTTTTCCTCTAGTAAGTGACACTTTACCTTATGAAATCCACAAGCTCTTGCAGAGCAAATAAATTGATAAGCATTGATTAAGTACCTACTATGTACCAGGCACTGTGCTAGAATTTGCAAAATAGATGATAAAAGTATCAGTGGTATGTAGTGGAGTCTGACCTTAAAGATTTTTTTTTTTTTCTTTCAGAACTTTGTGCCAACCTTGGGTAGGGAAACACTCCTGACTACATCACTGATCCCAGAAGCCAAGCCAAGTGTGACTTATAAAGATTTCATTCATGTCATTGTTATTGAAGGAAATGTTCAAAATGTTTCTGAAGTTTCAGTTCAGTATTTATGTTCTCAGCCTTGTGTGGTCAATTTTGAAGCCATTGTGTCATCTGAATTCAGAAGCAGCATTCCAGTGTATAAGAAGAGATGGATGAATGAGAAACATCTTCATACTAGGAGAATTAAAATGGTGCATGTGAAATTCCCAAGCATCATGGTTTATAGAGATGATTATTTCATCAGACACTCCATTGCAGTCTCTGCTGTGATACTGCATGCCTGGATCACTCACAAGCACAATGGAGATCTGAGTGCAAGATGGGAAGAAAACTTCTTACATGCTATAACAAAGAACTTCACTTTGTTGAAATCAGTTCCACCTTTTGAACGCCCTTTCAAAGATCATCAAGTATGTCTTGAGTGGAACATGAACTACATATGGAACCTGCAGGCAAACAAGATACCCCAATGCCCTCTTGAAAATGGTAGGTTTGATGACCTTATTCCTTGGTAGGTACCATTTTTTTCTTCAGATGGTTAGTATCAGGACAGGAGAGCATTTTGTGGTATTAGGAGAATTTGAAGAGAGGAAATTAAAAAAAAAAAGGTAAACTCCTTTCCCTGACCATTCCCCAGTCCAGCCTCTCTGCTTCTGCCATCTGTGGGCTATTTCATACTTTGTTAAGAGGTGAGGCTGGAGGGAAGAATGGTAGGAGAAAATAAGAAACAAAAATTAAGAAAAGTGACAATAAATGGGATGTTCTGGTTTTTAATGGCACAGAAATGCAGGAGCAAAATTCAAACCACCAAAAAAAAAAAAAGAAGAAGAAGAAATTAGAGACTCTTGTTCCTATCCACCTCAAGCACTAATTAAAGGGAAGAACATTCTGTATGGCCATGGCTGTATATAATGGTTTGCTGGTAAGCATTCAACAATCAGCTCTTCAGAAAAAAAAAATTGTACATAAGACACACTTTGAAGTTTAATCTGCATTATTAACATTTTCTCCATCATTTTCTTAAGCCTAGAAATCAACAAAACAATAAATCAAGCCCTGATTTATAGTTTGCTAATTTCCAAGGTGTAAACACTCACACTGAAAATTTAATGATCAGCACAAAAGGTGGTTCAAGCTCGCTCCAGCATACCCCTGGCTGTATTTCAGTGATCCATGACCTCACC